AGAGCACATGTGCGCCTTTCATGTAAGACGGGATCAGCTCTCTCTCTCTCTCTCTCTCTCAATGTTTATGCAATAATCACATGTTTTCTGTTATATAATTTGTTTATCACTCATAACGTTAAGAATTTGCATAAGTTTTCATTATTTCAAATGGATGTTAATTTTAATGTATTTCATGCCTTGTAGTGGATATCCCGCCGCCATCTCTGCCACCATTACTGCGGCCCGAAGACGAGGAGACCACCAGATCATTGCCCAGGTATGCACAGCTGTTATATATCTTTTATCATATGCTATCCATCTGTCATTAAACTATTATTCTTGTGTCAGAATTTGTGTATAATTTATCGCGTATTACAAACAGAATTTCATTTTTGTCTCTCTTATGTAAATAATTTTAAATTTCTATAATTTTCGTGTATTTATTATTAATTAAAAGCAGAAAATAGTTTTTCAAAAATAGTGTATTTAATGTGATTACAACTTTGCAGTCATTAGTTATTCAAAACACTCGAGACATGGATTGAAGAGAAAATAGACTTTAATTTGAGCCCAAATTTAGTTTTCGATACACAAAGTGAAGACAGGCTTTGATTAGAAGTGATATTAGGCTCGGCTTTAATGGCTTTCATTTGATTACACATTAGATTCTTGTATTTAAAGCCATTAATGTCTCGACTATTATCGGCCTTATATTCAAGGAATACAATTCGCAATCAATTTAATCAATAGTATAATTCTGGGCCTTAATTGAAGACATTAACTGAATTTTCGATAGAAAAAATTTATTTACATTTAAATCGTTTACATAAGAAAAATAAATATTAATAAGTGTTATATGGAGTGAAAAAATTGGATTCGCGTTTAGCGAAAGCTATTTAAAAAATCAAAATCTCGTAATAAAAACAAATTTTCATGACTTTTAAAGCATATAAACAAATAAAATGCTCGCAAAACAAGACATGATTTGGAGCCTAAACTCTGCGCTCAAAGATATAGAGAGTAAGAAAATTCTCATCTTATTTATGAGAGAAGTATTTTTTTTAACAGGAATTTAAGTCTTTGAGTAAAAATAAATAAAAAATAGCTTTATATGAGACAGAAATGCATTTCTCGTATACATTATGACGAGAGGGAAAGAATCGCAAAACTGTTAATTTATTATTCATGTAAAAGAGTTTCGATTACACATTATATCCTAGTTTTGCCAGTAATTAGACTTTTTTCTTATACCCTTCTCTTTTTGATGTGTATTTTTAATGAATATAAAAAATAGCGAATCAACAAAATGACAACTTTTTGAAAAAACTACATTATTTATATATATTTTTTGATGAACTATACAAAAGGTTTGAATAATATTTGTTTTTTATTTCTCTCCTCCGGTTCTGACAATACTATCGGGAAATTTACAGCTCAACGGAAATAAGTGAGTCGGAGGCGCGTCAGGCGCTCGTCAAGTATATATCCACCCGATGTTGTTATGGCAAAGGAGTCGCCAAAGACATGTCAATCATCAAAATAGAGCACATGTGCGCCTTTCATGTAAGACGGGATCAGCTCTCTCTCTCTCTCTCTCTCTCTCTCTCTCTCTCTCTCTAGGTCACGTGGTTTACTTAATAACATAAACATTCGGAATGGTCATATTACAGGTCAAACTATAAGAAATATAGAGATGGTCCCAATGTATAATTTGTAAAGGGATAACACATGAATAAAATAAACAAAGAATTATAAAAAATTGGATTGAAGGTTTTCACATAGCAGCTTAGCAAACTAGGTCAATTTTGTATGTTAACCTATGGAGATGAAAATAATATTGTATTTTAATATAATTTATTATATTTTTGAAAACTACATTCAATGCTGATAATGTTAGTAAAAGAAATTTTTTAAAAATTTCATTCCAAAGACAAAATATCTTAAATTGAAATATTCAGTTTTAGCCATAAACCCAAAGAAAACTCAATATTTTCAATATTTTAATTTAAGATATTTTGTCTTTGGAATGAAATTTTTAAAAAATTTCTTTTACTAACCTTATCAGCATTTAATGTAGTTTTCAAAAATATAATCAATTATATAAATATACAATATTTTTTTCATCTGCATAGGTTAACATGCAAAATTGGCCTAGTTTGCTAAGCTGCTATGTGAAAACCTTCAATCCAATTTTTATAATTCTTTGTTTATTTTATTCATGTGTTATCCCTTTACAAATTATACATTGGGACCATCTCTATATTTCTTATAGTTTGACCTGTAATATGACCATTCCGAACGTTTATGTTATTAAGTAAACCACGTGACCTATGTTTATAATAAGGAATGCTTCAGATGCGCAGTATATGAGGCTCTTAAATCCATTTTACAGAATTAAATTATCTCATTTAGTTAACAAATGGCATCACTTACCGCACGGCCGGAATCACTTGACCGCCCTATTATAGTCAGTACCCGTATTATAAAAGTAATATGAGATATTATTGTCAAAACAAGTGCACAGTTAGCTAACAATTTCCTAGCCATCGCTTACCAGCGCCCAAATATACCCCCGAATGTCGATATATATAATGGTTGCGCTTTGAAAATCATTAAACCTAATGATTGGCATAAAAGTCTAACATTTGCTTTGCATTCCTATATAACTTATATGTGTTTTTGGGAAATGAAATTTTCATTGCCTCTAAAAGTGATTATAACACAGAATAATATCATTATTATTAGCGTTATTGGCTTTCATTACACTCGGCGTGAATTGGATGCGAATGACATTTAAACACTACTGATTACCATGTGATTAGTAGTCGCACAAAGCATTTCAATTGGCCCGTCCCGGTGCACGTCTGACACTGTGTCCGGCCCTCGCCGTTGCACTTCCAGCACCGCAACCGTCCGCTGCCCATACACTTCCAGCACCGCTCCCTTTCGCCACTACTGCCGCCGTTACCAAACGTGGGCTTATGGCCGTCACCCTGACACGAGAAACACGACTCCTATACAGAGTGGGGAGTATTTTTGGGGGCAAATCAATTACATCGTCTCACCAATTAAGGCACTAAATCATATGAATAGTGCGCTCTCTTTCCACATACATATCCATTTCCATTGCAGGCGAGACACCGTTTCCTACCGCCGCCGCCGCACAAGTGACACATTCTGAGGGTTGCCGTATTCGGTACCTCCATCTGTGAGACCTGATTCTGGAAGTAAGCGACGGGTTTGGCGCTCATCTCCCATAAGTTGGTCGAGTCTACGCTCGTCTGATGATCGATAAGACCGCCTAAATAGGGCTCAAAAGCCCAACACATTTGTCGCCTTTCGCTGAACGTCTCTAACGTGTACTGAATTTTTGTGACAAATAAATGATATTCTTGTTTAGGAGTAGAAAATAATTCATTTAAAAGTATTTTAATTATACTAAAAGATTTCGACAAAAACAAGACATCACACAAACACAAAAATGTAGTGATTTTTGACATTTTTCTGTTAAAATTGAATCAATTTTACTGAGAAATAAGATCTGAAGATTTGGCATCAGATAATGAAAACCGGTGCCAAAGGCACGGGTAATGAGACAGTAAGAGATGAGATGTTTGCATGACTTTTTCAAAGGCATTGTTTCACACGTTATTGTAAAGCAGTTATTGTTCGTCAAAATTCATTAATTGTCTGATTAAGACATGGATAAGAATATTAGTTAAACACTAGTTTTCCGATTGATTAAAAGCTTTATAGTATAACAAACAATATAGTGATTATAAATATGTGAATCTATACATAATTTCTAATTATAAACTATAATAATATTGTGTTTTCGCTGTCAAAACGTGTTATTTCATTGAGATTTACTGTCAATTCATTTACGGTATGGATTAAAACGGTATGAATTAAATGCGGTATTTATTTATTTAATGGGAAGAGTATGTGCTTTATATGTCATAACTGTCTTAACGAATGCCTTGAAAACAAAGACTTGGATTGTTTGCGAAGGAGGAGAAAGTCTTTACAAGTTTTTTCACATGCATTTCGATGTAATTATGGAAATGTATAGACGATAGGGATAGGGATGCGATGGGGTCTCACTCTCGCCGTGCGTTTATTTATAATATATAATAACACAAGAGGTTTATATGGCTTTTTGATGTCTCAGGCATTCAATTAGTAAATTCCCGAACAGAAAATGTTATGCATTAGTGTTTGTGTTATGTTTGCACTTATGTTATGTTATATACTATGCTATATATCGTCAAAAGAAGAAAACACAAGAATAAAATATAATTAACTTTTTTTAGGCGTTAGTGAATGAATGAGTGAAGAAGGGATGAGAGAGAGAGAGAGAGAGAGAGATTAACAAATGGTACCTAAAGTGTCGAACTGAATGTCTTCTAACGGGAAATTCATTTTTGTGTTCATTTGACACGTTTTCGGAAAGATTTTGTTTTTATTTTTGCATTTATTGAAAAATATCTTAAGTTTTGGTTCGTTTCTGTCAAACACTCTCATTCACGTAAACACTGATCACTATTAATGTGTTGATTGTATTATTAATAAATTATTCAAATATAACTGTCAATCAGTTGTTTTGCTTCAAACGATTGGCGAAACAAACATAAAATAAAGAGCTTTTACTTAATTATCGGCAAAAAACTGTTGCACAAGAAAAACCATTTAAAACTACATATTCTCGTTTGACATACAATTTATACAACACTTTTAGCAACAAATGCCATCAGTTTTTAACAAATTCAAACAAATATATCCAATATTTCAAGTGTTGAGCAAAAAATAGCTTCAAAATAATTACACACAAAGAATATTCTATAGGATTGAAAAACAGTTGCCGTAAAAACGATTGGAAAAGTTAGTTATTTATCGTACTTTTGTAAACGAATCGTTTAATACAATGGCCTTTCATTAACAAAGATATAGTGATTCGCATAAATCTCATAACGTTTGACAGACAATACGATTGATTGAAATAATGATAAAAACACATACATATAGACGTGAATGAAAGCTAAAGACTTAAAGACGCGTGAAATTAGCTGCTCATCGCCGCACATCTCATATCCGATACAACACATGAATGCATAATGTATTTCGATAAACACTTTAGAGCCAGAAATTGGCTTCAGATTAACATTTTATTTACAATACTGTTTCTGTGAAACACATTCAACACAAGACTCTCATCAAAAATGTAAGTCAAAGAACTAAAGGCCCAGAAGACTCTCTCGATCTCGTCGTTTAAACCAAGAATATATAACATAGGAGTCTATGTATGTGTGGCAGGGATTGGGATGGGATAGGAGTGCGAGTGTGAGATTGGGATGGGATTTATAAATAGAAAGCGTTCACTCAATTCCGGGTCGTATTCCTGTGTGTAGTTTTAAGGCATATATTATTTTTATTAATAAATAATGAGTTTACAAATTGAGCAGAGATTATGTGAGTATATATTTCACTGTAACTTCTTTACAAACGCTTGTTTCGCAAAAACTTGTTAGAAAAAACTATTTTACAAATAAAGCTATTTTTGTAAGTATTGTATACGGTATTAAAAATATACTTTTATTAAATGTTTAAATTAGTTATTGAAGTAAAAGTGCTATCAATCCAAATATCCGGCAAACAATAAGGTAAGCGCTGTATAATAAAAGTTATGTTATAAAATGAGATCACACCTCACATCAAAAGTTCACTCATTCACATCAGATATACTCCGATATCTCATGAATTTGTTTTCTAATTAAATAAATACTTCAAAATACTTATCATTTCATTTAGTAATTCTATATTTTTATCTAAAACTATCTTTCATTTCTGTAGATCTAATTTAAAAGCAAAATATTACGAAAACGGTTGCTATTTGAGGGTCCGTTTGCAACACAAGGCATAGTATTTCAAATTCATTAATGTCTAAATTCAAACATTATGTTAATTAAATTAAGTTAATAAAATATTATCGTTGTACAAAAATCATTCGGATCATTTATTTAAATATCTATATCTTATTTAATAAATTGTGATCAAAAACTATTAACTAATTAAGAATACAAACAATTAATTACCTAAAAATTACAAATTAAAAAAACACAAACTATAAATCTAATGAATTAAATGGAGTCATAATTATAATGAAATCTATCCCTATAGACCCACTCCATGTCCTTAGAGTTGGCCCTAAGCCGTCGCCCGAGTGGCTCTAAATCGTTATAACATTTGTCAAACACTTTGTCCACAATACTCCACGCCTCGTCCGGACTCAAGTCTTTACGCGCGGCCATTATTGAACCGACGGCTTTACTCTTCACACAATTCTGGCCGACATTCAAATAAAATTAAAAAATTAATTATAAAAACTAATCCAGATTTACGCGAATGACAGGAAACATACGGCATGTGTTTTGGCTACATTCCAGGGTCTGGTGGTTCCCAAGAGCATAGAGCTAATCATTGAACAGTGGAACAGATTAGCCGCTCGTATCTGTTGACGTGATAATCGTATTAATGAATTCATGTCTTTGTGGTAATCAATGGTTGTCTCGGGTGTGAAAGGGATGGACACATACCTCGGAGCAGGCAATGTGTTCGAGATTATTGAAATCAAATTTCGTGCGACAGTAATCAAACATATGGAGGAATTCGTGGGCGAGAATACCGCGGATTATCCCCTTATTCCAGATTCGGTTCTGACAGACCACCACTTGGTTCAGCTGCGGATCGTAACCGCCTTTCATCACAATTAATAAATACAATTATAATTAATTGTAAAACCAATAATAGATAATAAATAATTGGAAAAATAATCAATAAAAACTTGTAGTGTTTCACTATAATAAGAGTACACTATTGAGACAACAATACAGTACATTACAAATAATACATTAAATGTCAACTAAATGTATAATTAATTTGTATTTTGTGTTCACTATTAAAATAATGACAGAAGTTATAGAGGAATAGAGTATAAGAAATAAGTGTATAACGAAGAGTACCGGTGACAGCATCTGAACAGCACTCGCATGATATATGGCGCCGGATATTGACCTCACTTTTCGGACATTCAATACAACAAATAGACAACAAAATTAATATCGTTTGTACGGATCAAGTGATCCAATTGTCAATATATATGCAAAACGCCGGTAATACTGACCATCCGTGCGATTTCATAGCGGACATCATTAGCTTTACTAACGGACCTAAACGTACGGCACAAGCAATCAATCGGATCCACACGCAAAATATGGACAATAAAAATAAGACAATCATTAAAATATTGGACACAATGTCAGACGCGGTAATCAATACTCGACTCAATGACATCGTTGACTCGTTTCTCGCATATAATCTTATTGTAGTCCTCTCTGTCAACCATCCTCTCCACCCAATTCTTGTGGATCCGTCCGCCTCTCCTCTCGGGGTATATCTCCAGCTCTTCGGGCGTCAGTTGTCTGTCCAATGGATCCGATGCCGGAGCCGGCGCTGCGGTCGCCGGTCCGCCACCACTGCCACCGGTCGGTGCCGTTGAGCTGTGGGCCTTCTTCTTGTGTCCATCAGTAGTGGCTTTACTATTGTCTGGAGTTTTGGACATCACTTGACGATTGAGTCTATGGTTTAGTTTTAATCACAATTTAAGACTCGTTTGAATGCATTATTGAATGTAAACACAACTCAACACAACTCGTGTCTGCTTTGCATCACATCGTTGTAGAGGCAGTGCTGTGTCGACGCATGCGCTCAACAGATGGCGCTTTCATTGCGGACCTGTTTTACAAAGTTTTGGTTCAAAAAAGCATTGAAGCAATTGTTTGAAGCATTGAAAGTTTCAATTTGAAACAAAAGCTTATTTTAAAAGCAATTGTTTTGTTAATTAAATCGTCGATTAAATCATTGATTAAATCATTGAACAAATGGTTGGTTTGAGTTGCGATCGCTTTCCCGATCTGTCGGCAGATCTGCTTAAACCACTGGCAGAAGAGATGACGTGCGGTATCTGTCGTCAGATCTATGATAATCCGGTGGAAACTTATTGCAAACACACGTATTGTTTGCAATGCCTTCAAGAGTTGGTCACAAAACACGGCCAGAAGTCGTGTCCCGAATGTCGCAAACCATTGACCACTCGGAAGAGGACTCAGAGCGCCGTCAATGACAACAATATTGTGATCATTGATAGCAATGTAATCGTCGACAAGAATCGCAAAGTCAATGCAATGGTCGGCAAATTGCGGATCAATTGTGAATTTAGAGCCGAAGGGTGTCGTACTGTATGTCCATTGGAGTCATTGCCCACACATCTCAAGACATGCCGCTACAAGATATGCGAGACTTGCAGTCAGTCTATGGGACTGAAGAATGAATTGATTGAATGGAAAGACAATTACAAACTTCTGGAAAATGAGAGCAAATTATTGGCAGAAAAGACGAAACAATTGGAGACAAAATTGAATGAATCGGAGGAAAAGTCCTCGAATTTAGAGCTCAAACACACTTCAGATCGAAATGAATGGCAAACGAAATCCAAGGAATCGACAAAAAAGCTCAAGAATTGTAGACAAAATTTGATGGAATCGATGGCAAAGGTATTTAAGTTGGAATCGAAATACACTTCAGATCGAAATGAATGGCAAACGAAATGCAATGAATTGATAGAAAAGATCAAAGGATTGGAGACAAAAGTGAAGGAATCGGAGGAAAAGAAATTAAAATTGATGGTAAAGTGTGACCAAAAAGAGCTCATGTCTAATGAATTAGTGTTGATTAAATTGGAGAAACAGGATTAAATGTGAGTGCAATTCCGATAACTATCACTAATTTGAAAGTCTTTCTATTATTATTATTATCATTATTAATATATTTCACTGTTTTATTCGTCAAATTTATTATAAATTACTTAATCTTGTATTTAATCCATTTATTTAAAACTAATTTCTATGTATAATTAGTTTTATATCATAGCATCTGTAAATCACATTCACTTAAATCAGATGCGTTCATATTATTACTCATTTACTTTTTTTCAATTTAATTAATAAATAAAAACAATGTTTTAATAAATAAAATCATAATTAATGTATAACATAATTAAAAATGAATAAAAAATAGCTTTATAATCCAATGATGTAGCATGGTGTTATTACTTGCAATTTATATTTATAAATTATATGATAATTTATGTCTATTTGCTTAACACTGTATAGAGTTATTCCAATTGATAAGAGAGTGGTTTAAATACGAAGAATCCAATTACTATCTTATCTGTGGTGTCGTATCCAATAGTAGCACAACTTTGTCCATACTATCAATCACTGAATTTGCAAATACAATACAATATATGGCAAACAGATATATCATTCCCTTTGTGTGTCTATCAATTGGTGTTTCAAATGAATTCATTTGCTAAACATATGCCAAAACCATAGCTTATAAATCCATTAATGCAACACTTGTTTCCATAAATTAATCCTAATTCAAGTTTTATTGTTTTACGTATAATATCTGCCTCTCTGTAGAAAACTATTATTATTATTGAGTACAACATAATAAAAGTTGTTAAATATGATCGTTATATCTAAACAGTTATTATGTTTAGCATTTTTGTTAGTAATTCAGTTTCTGGTATGCAATACGTGTCCATTGGATCACTTAATAAAGCCTTATGGATGTGATTGTGACTTCGGGGACGAGGAGGACAATTGGATCAGTTGCCAGACAAACGACTTCCCAGAAGTGATCGACGTATTGAGTTATAATATCATCGATTATGATAAACATTTTGACGAACTCTATTTGAGAAGTGATTCCCTCAACACAATTGGAGAGCATTTTCTCAAAGATATCACTTTTAAAAAGATTACTTTTCACAACTGTTCCCAACTGAAGACTATCCACAGGAATGCCTTCGAAGGTGTGGACAATGAAATTGTTGAGTTTGAAATCAGTGGCAGTAATGAATTGAGTGACAACACTGTGTTTGAAGTGATCTCATCGATGAAACACTTGCGAAGACTGCGTTTAAGTCACACCAAACTCACATCCATTCCCCGCAACGCTTTCGGTGATAATCAGGAAGAGTTGACACGAATCTCGTTTGACACCAATTGTGTTCATTCGCCCATTCGGTCGGTTATGGACAGAGCTTTCTATGGATTAACAAATTTAATACATTTGGGTAATTGTTTTAATTAACTTTAGTTATAATTTAATGTAAACTAAATTATAAATTTGTATTTATTTTTAAACCCTCAAGACTTAAGTTGCCTACAATTGGATGCCATTGAATCAAACGCTTTTGAATTCAGTAACTCTTCAAACGAGAATAAATTATTTATCGATTTATCGTATAATCGATTAACGGATAAAAGTTTTGCAAACAATTTCAAGATCACAACAAACAGACAAATCGATTTGAATGTGAATTACAATCCATTAAAATATTTAAATCAAACCATTTTTGGTGATATACTTGATGTGAATGAAGAAAATACTGTTCATTTATGGCAAAGTATTAATAACACAAACATTGATTGCAATTCATGTGACACCATTTGGTTAAAACATTATTCACATCAAATCAGTGATACATATTGTAGTGATGGTCAGCTGTTGTCCACTAAAAACCCCGATAAGTGTCCCATAAATGAAAGGATAAACAAATGTCGATAATAATTAAAATATATGTAAATATTTGATCCAAAACAAAACTTTTGATAAGATCTCAAATGTGATCACAAGTTATCCAAACTTTGGCCAAAGAAATCACTTTTGGTATTAATATTTCTTTCATTTATTTAAATTCAACACAAATGATAAAAATATAACTTTTGATAACATAATTAATATTTTTGTATATATTAAGTCATAAAATTACATTTTATTAAAACAATGAATAAAATTACATATTCTGTTCATAAATAGGTTACCAATTGATTCAATATTTAATTTATTAATTATATAATAAATATAACATTAGTTCAAAATTAATTCTCTATGAATAATAAAAAGCATATTTATATCTATAATATACTATATTTATAGAAAACAATTTATATTATGTGATAAAATATCAGATCAATAATTAATTATCTATTAAATACATTTAGACAGAGAATAATGAGTTTGAATAATAAACTTCAAAACTAATCTATCACTGGAAACGATGGCTCAATATTTTTGCATATATTTTTATCTGTTGTCTGAAAAACAAAATATAAACTCTATTTGTATTCAATATAAACTACTATAATATATATAATGAACTCTTTAGGACTGATAGCAAAACTAAACGGAGTGTGAATTAATCGATAGATTTACGTATGAATGAACATAAAGACAAAAAATGGTTACAAGAATATTCTATACACTATTCATATCATAAGTAATGTTAGCATTAATACAATATTAGTTTGAAGTTTATTATGTTGAGAGAGAGAGAGAGAGAGAGAGAGAGAGAGAGAGACCAACGACCAAAATCTGGGCAAATAGTTTTGCGTCAAATCAATAGATTTTTCGGTTTTTATTAGTTTGAAGTTTATTATGTTGAGAGAGAGAGAGAGAGAGAGAGAGAGAGAGAGAGAGACCAACGACCAAAATCTGGGCAAATAGTTTTGCGTCAAATCAATAGATTTTTCGGTTTTTGTTGTTGTTATTCGTGGATATTATTGGAGTAATCAATACTCCCATTGTGTGTATCAAATAATTGACAATCATATCTGACATAACATACATATCAATCTCTTCACTCTCTTTTGTGTGGTATTTGAAACCAAATACTGTTTAATAGGTAATAATAGCGCAAAAAATCAATAAAATTATTGACTTGTAATTCGGGTCTTAAATATAAATACATAAATCTCTAGCAAATTGTTTAATACTCTTTAATATTACTATAATAGTGTTGTGCTCTGGGAATCGATCGGGAATTACATTTGTTAGACTATAATACAGTATTAGTAAACAGTTTTCATATATAATAGACTATATAATAGTTTATAATAAGATTCTTAATTATATTAAAGCACTTCACACTAGAGTTGATTCACAAACAACTTTCAAAATAAGTCTTTCAATACATAGATCTTATTAAAAGATCAATCTATCAATTGGTTTGACATTTCAATATTATAATCATTTTTCAGTAAATTCTAACACATTTTGACGAATAAAATACTTAAACAATCAAAAAATTAGAAAAATTATCCAAAAAGAGTTGACCAAAAAATGTTTCCAAAAATGTATTTTTGTTCATAACTTTAGGAGAAAATGCTTTGCTTTCGTATCAATTAATATAAGATTTTGTCTTTTTGTTTGAATTTTCCAAAAATGCATCGAAAAAAATATTCATAAAATTGAATTACAGTTTAGTTTAACGATAAATGAATGAATTTAAAAAACAAAACCAAGAACAATTAATAATAATACGAGTGGTAATGTCTTATCCATTGATGAGGTTAGTCTTGGATCCAAAGCCTGTCCGATGCGGGTGTCGGGTGCGGGCAATGATGGCCTCCAAGAGGACCATCTTTTTGTACTCGTGAACGAAAAGGTCGGGCACTTCAATGTTTAAGTGCTCTAAATATATCATTTTGACTGAATTTTTGCCAAATAGTCGCCACTCGTAGTCTATTAGTTGACGAAAGAATGAGCCGTTCGGTCGCACTATTGGCCTCTTCTTGTGTAGCAAATTGTAGGAGTCTTTGAGACTCATCCGCAAGTATTTCATCAAATATGCTGTTATTTTAATGAAATACACATTAATAATAAATATTATAATAATTAATTTTAATAATGGAGAGAGAGAGAGAGAGAGACCAACGACCAAAATCTGGGCAAATAGTTTTGCGTCAAATCAATAGATTTTTCGGTTTTTGTTGTTGAATTACCTATTAAACAGTATTTGGTTTCAAATACCACACAAAAGAGAGTGAAGAGAGAGAGAGAGAGAGAGAGAGAGAGAGAGAGAGAATCATTACATACCGATTACAAAAGCGGCTGAACGACTGATCCCTGCCATACAGTCTTTAGGGAAAAACAAACAGTTAGTCCAAAACATGTATATTAAAGGCATATATATATACATGTATATGTATATTGGTGAACAACAACTTACGGATCAAAACTCTTCCGCCACTATTGGACACGTCGTATATAAAGTCCGAGACGTCGTCGAAATATCTGGCGATGTCTTCATCGAGTTTGTCGTGAACCTGAATGCGAGCCATAAATACAATGTATGAAATAATCACTCAATGGAGACATTGTTTGGAGTGCTTTACCGGAATCCGAATGGTTTTAATGCCATTCAAGTGAATGATCGGCACTTCAATCGTGGAGTTAATAATATGTGTTATTTTATATTTGTTAATATTTGCATAAGTGATACAACGGGCCGACGATATAAACAGATACTCCAACACACGTGACATTGTCGACACTCGCGAAGAACTACTGGTCTTCTGCGACGGAACCATCGCTACCGACGTCGACGACGCAGATGGAGATGTGGAGGAGGAAGACATCTGCGGATGCGGTGATACGGCTGTCGATGAAGTAGTGGTCGCTTGGGTTCCGCCGCACAACAAACGTCCCGCCGAACAGTCACTGGCCGTCGAAGAGGTCCAGCAATTCATTCTTCTTCGCACAAATGTCTTCTTTGGATCAAATTGGGACCAATTTAGTGATCAAATGCTGGAATATTATCATAATAATCGGAGTGACATTTACGATGTATACAATGGGAATGAACAGTGAATACTACATAACCATTATATACGACGATGTGATGGTTGTATGATATTTGCGATCTCGTTCACAATGCGCCTGTATATCATCTAATGGTTCCTATGGTTACCACTCATTGGCCACACATGTCGTCACAGAATAATGCAGTTGTGAATGACATCAAGAATATTCTGTGTATGGATTTAGCGTACGGTCTATGCACTGATGGTTTGATGTTTTAATTATAAATATATTTATCTCTTATTAATATTCTTTGTTTTATTAATTTTAATTAAACCTATTTTTAATAACTAAATGGCAAATAAAATGACGAATAAAACAAATAATAATTTCCATTTTTAACAATAGTTGTCAAAATGTGTATTGATTTCTGTTTTTATTTTTCTGGAGATATTTTTATCGTCATTTAGAAAGCATTTAAATGTATTGAAATCCACTAGAGATCCGTTAATAGACGTGTTTTACTGCAGTTTATACTCTGTTATAGAGTTTAGCGCTATTTTTACGATCAAATAAATAATTTATTTTTGCATTTTTTGCCGTTTGGATCGAAAATAATGGTTATTTTTAGGCAAAAACTAATGACAAAATGAAATGTTGCTTAAATTCTACCACAAAAACTACAATAAATCATATTTAAGTCATGTTTAAAGAAATGGATCATTCAATTAACAAAATCGATCGCCAATAAGATATTTATTATTTATATTTACACCAATAATACCATACATTTGAACAGATTTTTCTCATATATAAACAAAGATTAAATATATGTATATAATTAATTTGAAACATGTTTTATCAATGATCTAACGTTAAAAACTTAAAACTTAATTCATGTTAATATTCTCTAGCAGTAAATTACATAAAATAAATATATTAATAAAGCGCTTATAATTTGAATAAATGGATGTTTTCCTGTTTTATGGGCTGTTTTCCGACAATTATCTTATATTATTGTAAATGATATCCATTGTTAGTAATGGTGGGACTGAAGGGACGGCCGGCGGACGGCCTGTGATTATCGCGAGAAAGTACCAAATTTTGTGGCACCTCTTCTCCGACACCATCGTCACTGCTATCACTCATCTGTTCCTCACTTTCTTGACTACTGTTGTTGTCATCGGTTCTTCGCATTGAGTTCGCACTCTTCTGCTTACTTTTAATGATATTATTTTCATTAATGTTATTATTATTCGTATTGTTAATGGCTTTAGTCTTCCTCTCAACCAGTTTAGAGATAACAGACTCTACTTTACTGGCAGTACTAATGGGACACACGTTCGCACCGATAGTGCCCGCGAGAACCCCTTTATTAGAGTTGTGCGAAGTGGTGGTCACGTCATTGCTTGAGCTTATATTCGTCTGATTGTTGTTATGATTATTACAATGTTTACTGTTATCATGATTTTGATTAGTATTATCCGTTTTTGAATTCTTGTCGATTGGAAACAGTAATGGAATCGGTATTGGGATTGGTATTGGAAGCGGCACTAAATCAACGAGAAATGAGTTAATTGTAAAATTTTCAAGTGTCTCATTGTAGACATGAAGACATACCCGGATAGGGAACCATAATAGTCATGGGAGGCAATAGTGAACAGTTGGGAAACATCTGTGCGGGCAATTGAGGGCCATTGATTTGATACGACGGCGGCAATAGTGGCCCTCCGGTCGGCGGAAGTAAACCATTAAAATGGGACAAACCTGGAAAGGAATGGGCGTTTGGGGGCGGGTGTGGCGGCAGAAAGGGCGGCAAAGGGGGCCGCAAACCAGCAAAACTGGACTGCATTCGGAGCAACATTTCCATCTGTGCGCCAAACATGTTGTGAGGCATCGGTGGCGGCACTCGAGCCCCGAACCCAGGCGTAGGCATGAGAGGGGCGCGGATTTGATGGTCACCTCTGGCTATACTGCCGGGCAATCGCGGAAACAGATGCCCAGTGGGAGAGCCATTTGGTAACATAGGAGTGAGTGAAGCACCGGATCTGTTGTTAGGAGTGGCCACAGATTGACTCAACAGTTGGGGAATGTTGTGATTGTTGGCGACCATTGAGGTCCGTATCGATGACACCGGCGCGGGAACCACTGGCGGCGCCGGTGAGTGCGGTCTGGGGTTCGGTCGATATGTGGGCGAGTGATGATAGTTTGGCGACAACTTGTCCGTCGATGACTCCTTCGACGGCCACTCGCTTTTCTGAAGCAATTCCGGGTTTGAATGTCTGGTGTGTTTAGCACTGGGTGTGTGACGACTACTGCCCGACGATTTGTGTAAATGTTTGGTACGTTTTGACTCTTTGGGTGACTTATCTCTGAGCGACTTATCGTCTTTCGGTGTTTCATTACTTTCTTTGGATAACTCAGAGAAACGGCGCTTTAGGGGCAATGCGTTCATTGGTTGCGAGTCGTCTAACTCTAGTTCCAGATCCGAGTCCGAGCTGTCCATAAAACTGTGGACAGAATTGCCGTCATTCTCGCCATTCTTCGTGTTGTTGAGCCACAGTTCGGGTGTAATTAGATTTGATGTGTTTTTGGTGGACGACACGGGCGTGGCTTTGGTGGTCGAGTCCTTCATGAGAGTGGGACTGAGATGGAGGTGCGCTTTGGCCTCATTGCAGAATATATTCATTTTGTACTGATTTAAGCATTTATTGCTACAGAACTGCAACTGCTGTTCGCCGTCTTGAAAGTCCACGTAATTAACGGTATGTCTGGTGTGGGAAAGGGATGCAAAATTAAGTAAACTGGTTAAAACAAAATGAACATGGGCAATTAGCTGAAGGTCGCACATACCTAACATGTTTACACCAATCGCAGATCTTATTCTTCTGTTGCATAATATTGAGAGAGACAAAGAGCGCAATGTATTAAATAAGTTTTAAATCATCAATATCATTTACACCAACAACTGGTCATACCTTAAACGACGCTCTTCTGCATTGTGTAAAACATAATTCACTGCAAAACAAAAGTTATTATTATTAGTTTACATAACAAATAATAAATCACCGAGTTATATCAAATAAATGATCTAGGGCTAAATTACCTGCAAAAAGCTTTACAGCCGTTGGCCGTCCGGAGCGTAAACAACTTCATGCCGACCTTTGCACACCAGGCGCACACTATACAACCCGGGGGTATATTCTGGTTGTCTGGTTGTGAAGCGTACATATGAATGAAAATAAATGTTCATGTTAAAACAAATGATTTAGTCTATAATAAATTTTTGTAACTACTAAAATAAATATTTGTCAAACAATAAAATAAGGCAATAATTGATAACAAAGTAGTTAATAATGATAACTAGTCGATGACATCAATAGACACCGTGTGTTGTGTGCTTACAGTGAATATTATGTGATATTAATTCCATGGCTTTTTTAAAGAGACACTAAAGTTTCACTTAAACAACATAACACTTCTCTTCACTCATTCAACTAAACAGCGATAAAAGTTATGAAAAATATAAATTTATATACAATTCATTGAATTCACGAAATGAGAAAATTGAATATCAAATGAGGAGTCTCTCTCTCTCTCTCTCTCTCTCTCTCTCTCTCTCTCTAATCCATTATGATTTGTGGGAATGAATTAAATAGCGAAATGAATGCATGGAAAAGAGACATTCAATATACATATAAAATGCATACGAAATGCTAAATGAGCTGAAACTTTTGTGGGGCGAAAAATACAACAAAAATTAACTTTTTTTGATTACGATTTCTAGTATTTATGTTAATAACGCCCGACAAATATAAGTCAACACCTTTGAGTAGATGTGCTTATCATTTGTGGTGCCATTCATTCAACCATTCAAGCAATCGGTATATTAGGGACAATAGGGACGAGTGAAAGGATAATGTTATGTCCCACTCACTCATACTCAATGAATAGCGTAGAAAATTTATTATATTATTATAAAATTTAAAATGTAAAATTACATCGACCAAACTGAGAGATAAAATACAATCATATACTTTTTATGCTTGTTAATTGCATTCATTCACCATTTTATTTATTACCAAATGATAGGCGAGTTTTCAATTTCAAATGCTATTATTTTTATTAATAACAATAATAATAATAATGCATTCTTTGCTAATTTAAATCCATCGTTTGAATTATGATTTATTTTTAAAAGTAATACAATATTAGGAAATGTTAGATAATCTGACATTTGATCGCACTATTTGTTAGCTTTACAAATTCATTGGAGATTTAAAAATGCACTCATGTATACTATTCGTCCCAATAATTGTTTGATAAAAATAACATTTAATTTTTAAAAATTTTTTTAAATGTTTTGTAAATATCGGTTTACTATTAGTAATAGTCTATTACTAAAAAACGGATACTATTTAGACATCAAATGAAATTAAAGATAATTTTCATTAACGTCATTATATTTTTCGCAAAAAACTAAAATGAATTGTTTGCACAAATTTTGTGTGTTTTTTACTTTTGTCGATTAAAAACAAAATCAATTTCAAAGTTTCGTAAATTTATTACTCGATTTGCAATTTAAATGAGTGACAGAAAGAAACGCATAAACATATGATTTTACATAAAAATAATTTAAAACTCTTTTTGTTGTTTTATAAAATTACTTATTCATTGATATAATCCCAAAACAAACATAACTTTGTTTCTCTTCTCTTCAGCGCACAAAATGAGGACAAATGAAAAGCGAAACTAATTTTGACTCTCAATTCGCACATCAAATACTAGTGAGAAATGGTTTACGAGATTAATTCTCTCTCTCTCTCTCTCTCTCTCTCTCTCTCTCCTCTCTCTCTCTCTCTCTCTCGTATTAATAATTATAAAAAATAGTTTTTAACATAAAAACTACATAATAATAACTACAATATACTATAGTTCACCAGAAATAGTGATACTTAAACTGCAAGGCGTGCGTTCAAACCTATTGTTTGAATGCCTCCCTATTATGTAAAATTATGGCTTCAAAAAATAATGGGTTATATTTGAGAAAATCCATTACTCATTATGAAAATGAAACACGATTTGCAATCACTCAACGCTTATAATAATAATCAATTTTAATACACAAATGTGAGCACAGATTTGTTTCCAATTCACTATTAATTCATTATTTTTTATATCAAACAGACTATGCTTTTCAAAACATAACATTTGGTTTAGAAATTCAAGTTTTTGTTCTTAAAAATAAATTATTTAATTAATGATAGCTTTTGAAAATTTAGTCGTTTTTCAATGAGAAGGAGAGAGAGAGAGAGAGAGAGAGAGGCGTTCCCTTTCATATCTGAGACATAAAATTCACTTTTATTAATGTAAAGAATAGTAATGTATTTTAGATGTTAAGGGTGTGGACACACATCTACTAAATTGTATTACAGAGAGTGCGAGAGAGAGAGAGAGAGAGAGAGAGACTATGGCGAGCGTTGATGTGTATGAATGAACATTAATTTCATTATTAACGCAACAAATCTAAAAATCAAGAATTAATTTCGTAGAAAAACACCTGAATTTTAGGACAGACTTTTAAAACTACAATCTGTTTGGCGATTAGAAAGGGATTTAATTTTCTTCAACCACTCATTTGAATATAATTAATGCGTGAAATATATTATAAACATATGAGAAGAGAAAGGCACGCATTGATAATATGATGCAATTTTGTTTTGAAGCAAAAGGCCTGAGATGTTGGTCAAAGTGGGGGAAAACGGATTGGCGGGCAAAAGTGAAGGTAATAATTAAGGTAATTATAAAGTAGCGGTTCATTGCATCGCAATTGTCTCCACCCATCACTACAACCAACACAAAAAGCATATATATTTTTGGGTGTTTTGCCCCCCATTTATAACAGGCGGAGGTTTACTTCGCTGGGCTTTCTTTCGCCAAAAGTGAACTCAAATGTATGGCAAAATCGAGCGATTCTTTAAAGGGAAGGGAAGGGAAGGCGAGCACTGAATAAAGGAATACAATAATTGAAGGGATACTCGAATTCGTGATCAAACGAGCCCTAAGAATATGAAAGGGAACGCCTCTCACACACAACACATACAAAATACTAGAAAATAAGTTTTTATATATAAGTTCTGACAATACAAGGAAATGATGCGCCTATGAGTTGACGATTTGTTATTATTATTTTCTATCTGCCTCTCTCTCTCTCTCTCTCTCTCTCTCTCTCTCTCTCTCGCACTCTCTGTAATACAATTTAGTAGATGTGTGTCCACACCCTTAACATCTAAAATACATTACATGATGAGAGAAAGTGTATTGTGTTCGCGTGTTTGCGGCAATAGATCTTACCCTCAGAACAATCTTTGTTTATGAATCCATTCTCACAATTGGATTCTGTGCTTATTGTTAATGGAGGCGATCGACACACACCAGTGCTGTCAGCGCTAATGGGGGTAATGGGGGCCGCAGTGGTGGTGGCGGTCGAGGGGCTGATGGCGTTGGCGGTGGTGGTCGTGGCGGAGGTGGAGGTCGTGCCAACTCCTACGCCACCGCTATCGGAGCCATTGTGGGGCGAGAGGCGGCCCTCATCTCTATTTAGTTCATTTATTGTACTTTCTCTATGTTTGCCCGAAATGGTGGTTAAGTTGCGGCCAGTGTTTGCGGTCATAGAAGCTAATGAATCGCCCTTTTTCTTGGACACCAAATGTTTTAAATTCATGTTTTTTCTGTCCCTAACGTCCAACTTCTCATATCCATACCATCCCAACAACTCATTCATTGTCGTCTCGGCGTAATCCTAAACAATATAATTAAAGCATACATTCAATCAAATGTGAATAATCGTAATCTCCATAAGAATGACATAAACACAAAAAGCTTGAAAACAATATAATTTTGAAATACTTTAAAATTCATTAAATTATTTTGAAATTTCACATAAAACTAAACCCCTTTTCAAATTCGTTGAAATTCATTGATCACAAGAGCGAAGAGATAAATAATATGAAAAGAACTTTATTAAGAGTTTTTGTTTTTCCTCGAAATGGATAGCAATAAAAATATAAATGTGTTATAAAAATAAAGAGAAAATTATATTTATATAATCAAACATTTTTGGTAATCCATTGATCAAAACTCTTCACGCATTCACAGTAATCATAACAAATGATTCAAACAATTCTCTCTGAGTTTCTCATCCCAGGGTTTTGTTAAATATTGTGGCAAATGCTGTACAATATATACAGTATAACGAGTATAAAAATACATTTTCATAGATTTAAGGATATATTCTCTAAATTCTCGCAAATAATTTAATAATACTTTTGTATGAATACTTTGAACAGGAATTTACGAAATTCTCGGATACCCACTAAAGTATTAAATCTCTAAATTTCCAGATATTAATAACAATAGAAGTTATATATAACTAATCGATTAGAGAAAGTTTGTATGCATTCCGTTCCGAAATATGTGATATTTATTTAAAAATATGTTAATTTAAAAATCCGAAAATAATCAAAAACCCATTATTGGTTATTTTGACAACACGTATGATATCATGTATGATATGGAGAGAGAAATATTGCCAAATCAGTAAATGAAGTAATAGTTTATCCCATCAACACAAAAATGCAGGCAAAAGATGAAATAAAAATCAATACAAATAATACGGACAGTCTTTCAATGGACTGAATGATGACATGAGAGTGTGCTATGGATTGGTGTGTTTGGCGCCCATAAGAGCGTGTGTTTCGCTCATTCATCATAAATGGTGAAGAAAAGTGCGAACACATCATCTAAATAGGAATCGATGGTCTCTTTTGAGCCAACACTACATCTATGGCACTCTCACTCTTTCAATCGCCTCTCTCTCTCTCTCTCTCTCTCTCTCTCTCTCTCACTCCTTCTCATCCAATTTGCGGCCCATATTATTGACAAGAAAGAGCTGATACATACATGTATATACATTATGGTATATATAAGTTGTGTTTTTGGTTAAAAGCACTGACTAGTGGTGGATAGGATGTGGTCTCACAAATGACTCAATAAAAACTAGCGATACTAATGACCCGAACAGTCCTTAAAGTTAAGGCCATCCAAACCGAAAGACATGAACACAGATATGTATTGTATGTGTTATCTCTCGCCTAAGTCTTTATTTATACATCAATAATATCAGAATAGCACTGGTATTAGAATAGCACTGAGAGAGAGAGAGAGAGAGAGAGAGAGAGAGAGAGAGATTATTAAATTATTTGCGAGAATTTAGAGAATATATCCTTAAATCTATGAAAATGTATTTTTATACTCGTTATACTGTATATATTGTACAGCATTTGCCACAATATTTAACAAAACCCTGGGATGAGAGAGAGAGAGAGAGAGAGAGAGAGAGCATTATTCTTTACATTAATAAAAGTGAATTTTATGTCTCAGATATGAAAGGAGAATAATAGTCAGAATTAGGGTAATTCACATACAATAACATAACTTATATTCAGTTAATGCTTGTATTGCTTTATTATGTATTTTTATGACTTACTCTTTTCATATTCTGTTTATTGCATTCATTTTAATAGAATTTTCATTAAAAAAATTAAATTCATATTTAATTTATAGCAAATAGAGTAATAAAAAATACCGTTTCATAACTTATGAATCATAAGAAACAAAACAATTTTGCAAACAATTTATTGAAATCAATTTGTTTAAAAATATTTTATATCAAAAGTAATGTAAAAAACAGAATAATAGCCAATTTTTAGTCCATTTTTGGGCAAAAATAGCGAATAATATTTAAAGGGAAAAAAATATTTTGATAACAAACACAGGGAATAGGAGGAGGAATGCGATGAGTAGTGAATGTATTTGATGTGTTGCCAGATTAGGGGATACGCCCATCAAAGACACTGATCACATACCGTATGTCTGATCGAGTCTTTATGGAGAGAGAGATTAGAGAGTGTTTTTTGGGCCAAAAACACACATCCATTCAATCTTTCATTTTATTATTGTTCGCAAACAATACACGAAAGAAACGACTTTTTTAGTGGAGTTAATGCAACACAAAAAAGTACTGAACACTAAATTCATTCAAAACTTTTTTGCTCTCTATTTCTCTCTCCCATAAGGTTTTTATATGACTTATTCCTTTTGTTAGAGCAAAAAGATCTCTGAAAGTAATAATAATAAGTATAAGAATATAACAATAATAAAGATATAATAGTTCTCTACAATAATAGGTCTAATGATTTGTGAACGAAAATCTCTGCTAATATTCTGTTATGAGATCTGTATATAAATACATAACTTCAAGAAAATGTGTGTTAAATATAATAAAACTTATTATTCAAATGGAAATAAGAAATTATAATTTTTACGATTCTTAATATGAAAATGTCTTTCCATAAGAAAAACTAATAACAATTTGATGGAAAAATCGATAGTTTGTGAAAAACAAATATAATTAAGATTTACTTCCATTTTTAAAAGAAATTTTAAACTTCAACGCTATATACAGTATATCTCTCGTCAGATCTAATAAAAAATATAATTAAATGCATATTTAGTATTGAGTTTTAGTGTCGAGTTTCCAATTGTGACGAATAAGCATTCAATTAATGTTTTAGGAGAGCGTCAGGAGATCTCTCATACATAGAAGAAGCGCACGGATAGGCTGTGCGTCCAGTTTTGCAATAATTTGATCAAAAAGCCATATAATATGCGAACCGAGGATCGGGTGACACATATTTTTGCCGATCTTTGCATCGCATTACCCAATATGGCAATGGATGGCAATGAAGGCATTGGATGGCAATGAAGGCATTGGATGGCAATGAAGGCATTGGATGGCAATCGTGTTGATAGAGAAAAACCTGAACAGCCATTCAATACGAGCGGACATCTGATCCGTCGATTCTTCGGTTACCGAAAAGGTTTTGCGTTACGTTTTAATGGACAGATGTATTGCGCGCCTCTACACCATTCAAACACACATACACTTTGTGTACTCTATGTCTGCACCAATACTACAGACTCTCTCTCTCCCTCTTTCTCTCTCTCCCCCAAAAAGTAACCCAAAACTTTATCCTTCCTTTCACTGACACTCGCATCTCATCCCTCCCTATATATAGTATCGGCTCTAAATGCGGAGATGTGTTGTGGAGGGAGAGAGAAAATGTGAGTAAGAGGGGGAGGGGGCAGAGAGAAAGAGAGAGAGAGAGAGAGTCTGTAGTATTGGTGCAGACATAGAGTACACAAAGTGTATGTGTATATTATATGGCTTTTTGATCAAATTATTGCAAAACTGGACGCACAGCCTATCCGTGCGCTTCTTCTATGTAAGAGAGAGAGAGTAAATTGTGTAAAAAGGTTTGGAGACACTGCAACACAGGGCCACTATTGCGGCGATTATCGAAAATGAATGCCATATCGTATCGGATGTCTTGTGTCCCGAAAGAAACTCAAATGAAAAATGTTTTCATGTATTAATAGGAGAGTCGAAGGAAAACGGACTGAAAGATTGAATACAACAAAAAAGATGATATCTTATGAGAATTCGATCGCTTTCTATGCATTTTCAGCCAATTTATGTAATCGTAAACTTTCAGTGCAATGCAATCCTATCCCCCAGTCTTTCCACTCACTATCTCTTATATCTGTGACTCTTGTGTCGCAAATCCAATGAATGCAAAAATATATTTTTAATATTTGGTGCAAAACATGCCAACAAAGAAATGGTTTATAAAAATATATATGAGATAAAAGTATTAAATTTAAAGGATAATTAAATGGTTTTATTTATAGCCCAAACGCATAATGGATTTGATGAGAGAAAATGAAACTTAAAACTCTTTGCCATTGTTATCATCACATGTTTTCAATGGCAACAAACTATTTATGAATAGACGCTAAAAGAATATTCTGGTACTGAAACACACATACATAACACACATACTATTACAGCACAGAATATTAGAGCAATTCTGGGCCTCTATTCCCAGATGTGGGTTCGGTATTGCATAACACAATATCAGTCCATATTTTTGTGAATATTTTTCGCAGCGACACTAAAAACATAAACCGAAACAGGATATGCGAGGGTATCCTATGACTGAAAAGTTAGTGAATGTTAACTCATTAGTGTTGGCACCGGTAGTCATATAACAACTATCTCTCGATTTGGGACTCCCATTGCCACTCCATAACACATACAAACACACACCAGCTATTCATTATACAACTGACAGTTAATACACAGCATATGCCAAAAAACAATGCGATAGAAAGCAAGAAAGTAGAGAATTGTGAAATATTCTTGTAAACTATTTGACCGATTCTGTCGCTTCTTCTCTCCCTTTTTCCCCCAAAAAAGACGTCTCAGTGTTTAAAACGAACCAAAAAATAAAATCACAAACATTTGTATTCATTGCAAACGAATATCAAATTCGCTTTAATGCCATATAAATACAGCTCTCAAATCAATGTAATTCAATACTCAAATACAAATGTGAGTATAACTTTCGCTTTTGGCTTATATGCTATGCATATGTTTTGTAAAACATTTTTACTCTTCTTTTTTATATACAAATATATTTTGTTTTCTAGTTTTATAACTCTCTGTCAATTGCGCCCATTATTTGCTGTGAATTTACTTTTCATTTTATTGTTTGTTTGCTTTTTCAAAGAATTATTACTTCATTGAGACATAATATGAGAGCTTTTATGCTCTCGTGAATTCATTTATCATATTTATACCAACAGTGGTCTAAAATTTCAACTATTTTCACACGAATCAATTAAAAC